CCAGAACTGGACACAGTATTCCAGGTGGGGCCTGACCAAAGCTGAATAAATTCATCCAGAATGCAGTTCTGATTAGAGCAGAGCTACTGGATCAATAGGATTTGCTTACATGTTAATTCACTGTTCAACAATTGGTTGAATGGGTCTACGATACCTGGGATGGAGCAAGAGGATGCCATCCACAGTGCTGTAGCATATGGTTGCAACCATACATACCTTTACCTGGTAAATTGTAAAGAGGAATGCTTATATAATGGCTTGCATCTTGTTGGTTAGTCCTAACTAGACTAAACCACTTCAGTCAATTGTTGAATAGTGAACCAACACAGAGATACATCCCATTGATTCATTGGATCTACTCTAGTCAAGACTAGCAATAAGATTTGGGCCAAAATCCAAATTTTTGTCTGTGCATGCATGTGGCGGGCATTAGCTACACCATGCTAATTTCTGACATTACTTTCCACAGTGCTTGGAAAACTCTAAATAGGTAATAGTGAACACAGGGGCAGGAACATCACACAAATTAACACATAGCATCCAGCATTTCACAGATGAAAATTGGAGTACATGTGTCCAGGCAACATCAGAATGTGGTCATGATGGCAAAAGCTATTAATGGGGAAGATCACACAAGCTGGGAGAGGTTGAGTCTACTTTGTATATGTGTGTGTGTGTGTGTTGTGAGCCTTCAAGTCATTTCTGACTTATGGCCACCCTAAGGCGAAACTCTCATGGGGTTTTCTTGGCAAGATTTGTTCAGAGGAGGCTTGTCATTGCCTTCCCTCAAGGCTGAGAAAGTGTGACCTGCCCAAGGTCTACAATGGAGTTCATGGCTGAGTGGGAATCAAACCCTGGTCTCCAGAGTTGTAGTCTAACACTAAAACCACTACCCCACGCTGGCTACTAGGTAAAGGAGAATCCTACACCTCTCTCTTCCCCTCCCTGCCGAGTCAGTTGGATGCAAGACAATTTGGTAATTTGGATTCAATGTGAAGTTGAAGGCTTTCACAGCCAGCATCCATAGTTTTCTATAGGTATTTTGGGCTGTGTGGCTGCATTCTGCATGCATTTATTCTGCTTTGGTCAGGCCCCACCTGGAATACTGTGTCCAGTTCTGGGCACCACAATTCAAACAGGATGTTGAAAAACTGGAGTGTGTTCAGAGGAGGGCAACTAAAATGGTGAAGAGTCTGGAAACTGAGGAATGACTTAGGGAACTGGGTATGTTTAGTCTGGAAAAGAGATGGCTAAGAGGTGATATGATAGCCCTCTTTAAATATTTGAAGGGAAGTCATATTGAGGAGGGCTCTAGCTTGTTTTCTGCTGTTCCAGAGAATAAGACTCGGAACAATGGATGCAAGGTGCAGGAAAAGAGATTCCACCTCAACATTAGGAAGAATTTCCTGACAGTGAAAGCTGTTTGACAGTGGAACACACTCCCTCAGAGAATGGTGGAGTCTCCTTCTTTGGAGGTCTTTAAACAGAGGCTGGATGGCCATCTCTCAGGGATGCTTTGATTAAGAGTTCCTGCATGGCAGGGAGTTGGACTGGATGGCCCTTGTGGTCTCTTCCAACTCAATGATTCTATGATTCTATTCCTGATGTCGCACCTGCAACTGTGGCAGGCATCTTGGCATCAAAATGCCAGCCATGGTTGCAGGTAATATGTCAGGACTAAATTCTTCCTGAACATGGCCACACAGCCCAAAATATCCACAGAAAACTTTGGATTCAGTTTGCAGCAACTGAAGTAAGCTGAGGACAAAGAGAGGAGAAGGAGAGGAGGAAAAAAAACTAGGACATTTTTACAGTGGCTGAAAAAAAGTGGGACAACAGAGGATTAAAGTGGGACAACTCTTGAATCAGGACAAGTTCTTATGAATAAAGGATGCCTCTCCAGGCTGGAAGCTGGGATGATGGAGGGAATGGAATGGTAAGGAAGGGCTGGTTTGGGGAGAGCTGTGAAGGGAAGGAGGGAGGCAGGGCGTTGCTGGAAAATCCAGGCTCCTAGAAGAGTCAGAGAGCATCCAGCCTGCCAAGCAAACAGGAGCTATTTATTTATAAGTCCGAGGAGCATATATAGGGCCATTGATCCCCGCCTTGAGCAAGCAGCTTTCTTTGGAGAGGAAACGGTTTCCTATTGCAATAACAGAGTTGCCTTTGATAGCTGGCGGAGCCCTAAAGAAAGCCAGAAGTGATCCGGTTTGACACTGCTTTCACTGCCCCGGCTCCATGCTATGGAATTCGGGGGAATCCATAACAACTATAATTCCCAGAATTTCATAGCATGAGCCAGGGCAGTGAAAGGGGCGTTAAACTGGATTATTTCTGCAATGGGGATACAGCCTGAGAGGGAGGGGACAAGGTCGAGATGCGATCAGAGCTCCAAGAAGTTTCTTTTTTAAAAAAAAAAACACTTCAGCTCTCCGCTTCTCCCCAGCCACCTTGGGATTTGTAGTTCAGTCATTCTCCCCACTTGGCTTGAAGGAGGAGACCTGTGGAGATCTGGAGCCCTGAGGGAGATGTTGTCTCCTGTCCACACCCAGAAGTCCTCGGCACAAAAGAGGACAAGGCACTGAAAAATGTAGGACGTCCCAGAAAAACAAAGGGAGGGAACATGACTAAAGAAAAGCTCCTCCAAACGCTCTTAGCAATGTCAACTCATGCTTCTTTCGTCCTGCTCCAAACGGAGGACGTTTTGGAGCTGCTCCTGGGCCGAAGGCTGAAATGGAGGACGTGCCCAGGAAAAAGGAGGACGCCTGCCCTGCCAAATGTCATCTTCAGTCCCGCTCCTGAGAGTTGTCCTTCAAAGCTATGGAGGAAAGACTTCGAAATACAGATCCCAGGCTCCCTTAGCATGGAAACAAGGCTGTTCAAGGCGCCCAAGTGCAGATACAGGATCCCGAGAAGATCTAGTCGGGATCTCTGATCCCTAGGCTTCGTTCCTCAAAACGATCAGAAGACAATGAGCCTATTCAGGCTCTCGGCCTCTAGGTGGCGCTGTTGGCCAAACAAAGAGACTTCCATCGGATTTCTCATCCCAGCCATCTGTCAAAGAGAGACTTTGGTTGTCTCCTTCTGCTTCTCTTTCCTCTTATCACTGGGCTGCTGATAGCACCAACCCAGGATGACCCGACGTCCTCCTTTTCCAGGACGTGTCCGACATTTCAGCCTTCTGTCCAAGAGGAATTCCAAAATGCCTCCATTTTGAGCAGGACTTCAGATGTGGATAGAAATGGGGACTGCAGTCAGGAAATCAGACAATGACTGGGGAGGGTGGCTACGAAAGAAGTAGAAAAGATCCCAATATGTAAAGATATACAACTCAGCACAAAAGTTAGAATCATACAAGCCACTGTATTCCCTATTACCATGTGTGGATGTGAGAGCTGGGCAGTTAAGAAAGATGATAGGAAGAAAATTCCTTTGAGAGAATGTGGTGCTGAAGAAGAGTGCTGAGGATCCCATGGACAACCAAAAGGACAAACAAGTGGGTCCTAGAGCAGATCAAACCAGAAACCTCCCTGGAAGCCAAGATGATCTAACTAAGGCTGGTATACTTTGGACACATCATGAGAAGAGAGGACACATTGGAAAAAACAATAATGCTGGGAAAGGTGAGAGGAAGGCCACATGCTAGATGGATGGACTCTATTAAGGAGGTCATGGGTATTAAGGGGTTGCAGGAATTAAGCAGAGCAGTGGAGGACAGGGGGTCTTGGAGATGTCTCATCCATAGGGTTGCTATGAGTCGAGACCGACTGAAGGGCAGTTAACAACAACAAAGGCTGCATCTACACTGCAAAAATGATCCAGTTTGATACCGCTTTAACTGCTATGGCTCATTACTATGGGATTCTGGGAACTGTGGTTTTGTGAGACATTTAACCTTTTCTATCACAGAGCTCAAATACAATTCCCAGAATTCCATAACATTGAGCAATGGTAATTAGAGTAGTGTCAAACTGCATTATTTTTGCAGTGCAGACATGGCCTAAGAAACATGAGTGTTTTGGGCTTTTGTTTGGTCATGTCCTGCACCACCCTGACCATAGATTGGCATAATGGCCTTATCATAAGAAGAGATATAATTCATACTTCAGACATAGAATCATGGAATCATCTTGCCATGTGCTCCATAGGGGCTGCCTAATTTGGATTTGGAGCACATTTTAGTGCATTTGTCTAATCTTACTTGCCTTTGACACCATGGCCACAGGGTCTGCAAGCAGATCACAAAGCTAGAGTTGTGTAAATTGGCCTTAAAGGAGTCAGGGCAATGTGATTTCTAGAAAGGAAAAAGGTGGGTGGATATGTGTTTGTCCATCCACAAAAAGGGAGACACAAGAG